AAGGAAATAGAAATAGCGTTCTCTTCTTCATCCTTCCCTTCCATTTCCTCACGTATTATTTCTTTAACTTCTTGATTATCCTCTAACACAATTAACGGTTTCATCTTGCACTTGCACACAGGATAATATTTGTCACCAGTAACAAAGATTAGAAGAACATATAAGGTCAGAAGTATTCAAGTGGTGTCACACATGGGCTTTAGGTGGAGGAATCTATTGTGTAGGTTTGGCAGGGTCAGAGTGGTTTGTTCATGTTTTCTTGCGAAGTATGTTGAGAGATTTGAGGAGTTTTGTTAGCCGAGAACTAGAAGTATGCTGCTGCGGTGGAGGTTTGGCTTGGGGAATGAGGGGATTCTAGGGGTGAATCTTATGGGGTATAATTTTGGCATCAAAAGCCCGCTCTTGCAATATAGCTTGTTTAAAGACCTCTGATTAAGGGATTGGTGTTTTAAAATCTTAATCATAGGATGCATTTTCGTTCAGCCTACAGATGAAATTAGAAATGAAGTGCTACTCGGTCAGGGCAGAATGGATTTGACTTAGATTTCATGAGTAGATTAGAAATTATATTTCTTTTAAATATAGAATTATATAATATTTATGAGTCTATTATTATAATTTTAGTAGCATTAATATAAAATATCATCTCTTATTTGACAAGGTTTTTTAGGAAGTGCTGTAAATACAAGTGTAATCTCACTTTTGAGGAAAGTCTAGTATACCTCAATAAATAGTTCTTAAGAATTTTGTGATCAAATCAAACCCGTGTATTTGATGCTTGAACTTTTAGACGTGATATCTAAAAAATTTAACTATCATATGTAGGTTTTACACTAAATTCTTAAATAGGCCAATTATTATTCTACATCAATAAGTTAAATGAATTTCCCTATAAATATGACCCAACATGCAATGCTGAAAGAAAATGAAATATCTCTCCTAATTCCTTGATAAAGAGTATCAAAGAAAAATGGAAAAAAGGAAACCTTCTAATAAATCATGTTAATGAAGAAAAATATGACTGATATCTGCTACTTACTAGATGGGATCTACTACAGCCTTCCTCATAATTTCCATGGCAGACGAGATTCAATAAATGAACATATGTAGATCAATAAAAATTCAAGACTGTAAACTAAACTTCTCATACATACAACACAAGAAAGGTGTGCTTTTTCTATGCTGCAGACTTCATGTTTATTTCATACTTAACAAGTGCTTTACCTCAACCTGCTTTCTTTCTCCTTTAGGAATATATGTCCCCATCACTGCATATTATTCTTTGTTTTCAAACTTCTAACAAGCAGTGGGAAGAGGTTATCCTGTCATCGGAAGAAACGCTAAGACTAGCAGATATCATAACTTATTCATTCTATAAAGTCAATACCCAGAATAAATTTTGAATATTTTTACCATCTTGAACATAGTAATTTCATATTCAATCGAACCACCTAGCCTGATTACTTTGGGAACATATTATTTCAAAATGTCTCCAAATTTCAGGTGCTGTTTTAAAATACTGTAAATTGAGATCAATTTCCTTTTCCATAGAGTTTAAAATCCATGTTATAACTCCAGCATTATGAGATTTTCATTTGATTTTCTCTTTTTCCTTCTCAGGTTCTTGTTATGAACCATCAAGAATCTTAAATAGCTCTTTTCTCTCAACAAAAGTTCCAAAATAAAATGCCCAAAGAGTATAATTTTCCCATCAAAGTTAACAGCAATTATTTCTAAATTTATATTGTTGACAAAAAAAAAAAAAGAATTAAACTACAGTAAATATGTTTAGATTGCACCTGGTTGTGGAGAAAACAAAGTTGATCTGTCAAATCAAATTTTAATACGGCTGAATGATACTCCTGCCCCCTTGGTTAAAGAAAGCCGGAGCCAAGACAGTCATGCTGCCAATAAACGAAAGAAACAATGATTCAGAACCGTAGCTCTGCTACAATGAAAATTATATTTTGAATTGTATAAACTGAGAATTGTGTGTATTACTGATTCTTTACACCAATATTTATAGTACAAACCTAATAGAATATCAACTGTACATCAAATAATATAGCAAA